AACATTTTTTTTTATTTCTAATACTTTAATCAAAATTTAACGTCAAAATGTTCACTTAGTTACGAGAAAGTTTTAAAATAAATTTGATTTAAATATTTGGGAACCATCAAAAGATTTTTATATAAAAGTAAGATTAGCTACTTTTTTTCATAACTACAGCTTTTCTTAAAAAAAGTGCATTTTATAATATTACAATAAAAATAATTTAACAGCTGTTCGAATAAATGTTTAGTTATTTCTACTTAATTTTTTTGAAGAAAATTTAAATAATATAAATTGTGAATGTATATGATTTATTGTTTTTAGATAGAGTACATTACATTTTACCACGAAGAATACATCAAATTGATATATCTAAATAATATATGATTTTAACTTTTTTTTAGGAAAATATAAAAAAGCTAGTGAAAAATATTAGGTATAATGATAAATTATTTATTTATTTTTTTTGGCAAACGATTAGTGATGAACCAGATGTACATGATTATAATATAGTTGTATAGTATATTATTAAACTATAAAGATAATATTTTCTTAACATATTATGGCTTATTCAATAAGGTTTTTAAGACTTAAATAAGAAAATATTATTTTTAGTCCGTGAATATAGTTATAATTTATACATTAAATGCTTATCTTTTTTTATTGATATATTTTAGGTTAAATTCAATATTATAAAATTGTACTCTATTATTAAATAATGCATTGTATGCAGTTTACAAGAAATTTAAATAGAATGTAAGATTAATAATTGGCATTAGGACTTAAACTGTGTATTGCGTAATATAGTTTTCTGAAACTATTTTATTTTTTTAACTTTCAATTTATTTATTTCAGAGTCAAATCATATACCTAAATTATTTATGGTTATTACATAAAAATTAAAATTTTGCATTCAATTTAAGACCTAAAAAATATTTTATAATAGATTAACACCATATAATATATAGTTCAATTTCTTGCATGTTATATCTTGTTATCCTAACACACAGTTTAATTGTTTTTTTGTATATTTTTATATTACCATTAGGGTTTTCCATTTCTTAAATCTTATTTTACAACTTATTTTTTATTACTATGAGATACTTTGTATGGTATTGGAATTGTATTCACAAAAGCTAACCTAGACTAAAAAAAAAAAAAAAATGACTATTCGGTTAATGTAAAAATTAACCTAATTCAAAAATGTTGAAGAATTTCTCTCATTTAAAAATGTATTTGAAACATGTTAAGTAAGCTAACTAATAATGTGATACTTGAAACTAAAATTGAATAAAACTGTTTGATACACATATAAATATAGTAGTTTTACTCTATACTGTGTTTTAAATAACTAATTTTATTTTAAATTTTGGATATTTATTTAAAAGTTCTGTAAATATTCTATAGATATCATAAAATTTAAACGTTAGTATAAATCAAAAATAAATTAGTTTAAAAAAAAAATATATTGGCTAATATGTTTTTTTTTTTTTTTTATAAGTGACAATATTCCTGAATGGTATCAATATATTTACATAACGTATAAAGTTAATAATATTAATGTTTGCTTTGCATTTTTTGGTTTATCTACCCTTTAAGTGCTTTCAAGAATTTAAACTTTGTCCATCAGTATAAACGAAATTTTTATCATATTGATAAAAGCATTTTAAAATAAAAATAATTGAAATAAACAATATTTATATGAGATAAGACTTATACATTTCAGAACTCATAACATATCTAAGTAACTAAATAATGATTTATACTAAACATAACATTAAAATTTATTTATGTTTGGAAATATAATGAGTATATAAGATAAATTTTTCTAAATATTTCACTATTACTCTATCATATTATATTTATATATAATTTAAATTAATAACAAAATCATACTTGTAAGTGTTAATATATGCTTGTCATCCACGTGTGTTATAAATTAAAATAAGTAATATTTAATTGTATTAGTAAAATGGTATTTAATTAAATATTTCACGTTGAACGTTACTTATGTCATTACGGTAGCTTAAAATATTTTTTCTTTCTTATTGATTTATATTTAAAATCAAGTATTTGGTAAAAATTTAGCATGTGCTTTTATTTATATTTTATTTTCAGGTATTGAGTTTATTTAAATTTTATATCGGTTTTATTGGTCATTCAAAAAAAAATTTGTATATGTCAATACTTAGAGACCGAATTTAAATGTAAACGTAATTATTTTTTGTATTTTAGGACAATGCATCCTAACTCCTAAGTAAATAAATCATTTCATGATCCCAATACTTCAAAGATGAAGCTTTATTATATATTTTTTGCCTTTTTTTGTTTTTTCTATTTTAATAGAACTTTTTAGCATTTTCAGTTCGTATTATTAATTTTTAAAATACAATTTAATACATTGTTCGTGTTCGAGCTTTTAGTATAAATTCAAATTTTTTTATGAAGAAAATATATTATTTTCATAATATTTGCTTTAATAGTTTTTAGTATTTTTCTTCAGTTTAATGATATTATTGCGTTGAAAAGGTATTTTGAGGACATATAAATTCACTTTCTAATTATTGATAAACATAAGCTTAAAATACTTAATTTTTCATCCAATCAACCACAAAGTGATATTTCATAATTTAAAACAAAAAAAAATTTAAATGATATTTAAATGCTATTATTTATTTAATATCGATTTATGAATCTTGTAAAATGTATATAACTGTATAACAGTTTGTGAAACATAGTTAAAATATTGAAAGATATATACTGAAATTGGCACAAAAGTATAATAACGTTAGTTCGACTCACGGCATCCTTGCAGGTCATTGGTGACGTCAGTAAAAAGGTCGCTGTCCAATTGTTGTTCACATACTACTGCATTTTGTCACCAAAAGGTCTTTTTTTATTTAACTATCGAAAAGCCAATATCATTTTTACCTAATGTTATTTTGTGTTTCTTTGTATTTTATGAATAAAATGAATGGAAGATGACATGATATTTTCATTTCAGTAAGTAATAAGATCCAATTTTTTTTTTTTTTTTTTTGATTTCAAAGAAAATTAACATTGCATATCGTACAGTATAATATTGATGGAGAAATAGTCAAAACTATTTATGATATCGATAGAATAAGTAAAACAATAAAGTTATTATAAAAAAACGTCATAAAAAATTATAAATAATAAGATTTTTTTTTTTGATAAGTGTATGTTATTTATGTAAGATTATTATTGTTCTAATGAAGTATATTGATAAACTTTGAAATAAGCTAATCAACTTAAATCTTTTGCTTCTCAAAATAAAATTAAACGTTTTAATATAATAATATTTATAATATATTCGTACCCGTGAGTACTTGATAATTTAATAAAGTATTTGAAGAATATAACAACAACTTTTTTTTTTTTTTTTTACACACGAGAAGAAATATATTATTTGATTTAATAATAAATAATTTTAAATAATGTTAACAAAAATAATTAATGCTAATTATTTGTTTGTAAATAGTTAACGTAGATTTTTTTCTTGTAATTTTTTGTTTCTATTTATTTAACATTATTATCCAAAAACAAAGCTCCAAATTCTAATTCACACAAAAAATCACTAGTTTAAAATCTCGAAGTATTAATACTGAGAAATATAATTTAAAAATGTCTGATAAATTGACAAAAAAAATATTTGGATATACAAAGGAGTGTTAATTACCTGCACGTTAATTATTTGCATTACAAAATTGTTGTATAAATTTATTTCTAGTTTATTTCAATTTAGTTTTATCCATCATTGTGTTTGTTTTATCGTGTTATATATATGCATATTATAAAATTTGAGATTATTATTTACTTACTACGTCTCACTTTAATGTATAATATATATTTAGGTGGTTTGCAAACCCGATCAAGTACACAGTTAATTTTTGAATTAAAATGGGTTTCAAAAAAAAAAAAAAAAATATATATAATGCGTTAAGATATTGAAACAAAAATCGAAATCATAGAAAACTTGAATTAAGAGGAAGCGGATTTTCTTTAGTTCAATTTTTATTGTAAGTAAATCTACTATTGGTAATATAAAACGTACAAAAGAAAGTATTTTATCATATACATCAAAGATGGACTTAACCAATGGTAAAAAAACTTGAAAAAAAAATAAAAAATTTAAGTTGACCAAAACCATTTTTTGTGGTTTGTACAAAAATAAATTTATGTGACCCCATACAGTACACTAGATTTTTAATTTTAGTTTTAATCATTATTTGATTATTCGCTTCTCCATGGTCATAGCTAGTGTGAATAATTTACTTTCTACTGTATACAGTACCTGATCTAACATTTTTTAACCTGATAAACAATATTAAATTGACGCCCTTTTATGTCAATAATCACTTTTTTTTTACTTATTATATAATTAGAAATTTACACTCTTTTGTGACTAGCGCGGCACGTGCCCCGAAATGCCCCTCCCTAGATCCGGTGCCGAATGTACATATTACATTATAATGCACCTATATAATATAAAATAAACATAAATGATAGAATTAAAATTTGTCAACGAGTAAATATCAAACTCAATCGATCATCACTCTTATTTTTTTATACTACTGTTAGCATAATTTTATTTACTTACTCATATATCGTAGTTTATAGCTATTAGTCATTACCATTATTAGTGAAAAAATATAAATAGTGTGTTTTTCTTTTTTTTTTTGAAAAGTATTAATTGTTTTATTTTATATTATTTAAAAATTTAGGCTTTATGGGTTTTTCCAAATAAGCATGGTATACTTATATCGAAGTTCACCAGAGCAAGTGGATAATTATACATATTATTAATTAAAAATTATATAGCCATTAATTTGTATAATAAAAAAAAAAAAATAATTACATAATAGATAATGTGTTTAGTTCTTCAAATGATTAGTTTGATAAAATAAAATAATATGATAAAAAAATTTAGTTTTATAACGTTAATAACTTTATACTAAAATTTAATTTTATGTTTTTATTTATTTTTTTTTTTATAGGTTTACTCATAACGCGTAATATATATTCAAATACACTTATTAAGAATGGGTGTTGGTCATTCAAACAGACAAGATCGCTCATGTCCTTTGGACGGTGATGGTGAGTGATTTTAACTATATGTATGCATATTCGATTAAAGTTTAAGCTAGTTACATATGTTATACAAATTGAGTATCGCGTGCAATGTTCACATTTATTGATCATATTTAACTCGAATACATTGTATAATATTCGGGTCTGTGATAATTTGTGATCATATATTATAATGATGAAATTTTAAGCAAGTACAGATTGAGTTCAAACATAAATACCTAATGCATTGTACCTCATCAAAAATTTATTGTAATAATTTTCAAAGGTATTATAACAGCTGAGGAATCGAAAACAATATATATATATATATTTATATAAAAGAGTAAAAATCCAACCATTTATTTTTGTTTTTAAGATATTTATATTGTTTAGTATTGTCGTATTTTGAATGTTACGCAACATGTTGATAAAATACGATTAGTCAAACTAGAAGCTGTATAATCAATTTAACGAATTATCTAATATTATAGACTTGGATCGAAGAGAATTATGTTTTTGTAAAATTGTATTTATACATTTAAATTTAAGAAAAAAAGCAAAATAATATCCTCACATTAAGACTATACTACTTGAAAATAATTTTATACATTTTTGGTTACTAAATAAACTAATTACTTACCTAATACTAATAATACAACTAAATATTATTTTATAATTTATAAAAAAATATCATTAATAATGGAATTTTTCATAGCTGCTATAGATTATACGTAGTATATAATATCAAGTTCATTAAAATAGAGATAATAGTATTATTTTTTTGAAATTAATGTATATCGTAATATTTAATGTTTATAATAGTTAACATAAATGTGACAAACTAAGATTTAAATTAAATTATACCATAGATTAAAATTTTCTAATTTTCGTTATGCATAATAAATTATTTAATAATATCTAACGGTTCGTAAGTAGGTACGTTCATATTATTTTAATATTCATAAATTATTTTCATCACAACATTTTTAAATCAGAAACAGCTTTTTTTTACTTCGAAGATAAATTAGAATATTTGTTTTTTGTCTGGTAGACGTAACAATAATTTATATTATTTAAAACTATATTACGAATAAAAAAATGTCATTATTATAATGGAATAGTATATGATGTTGACTGACAATAAGTGCGAAACAATATTACATGGTAAAATCGTTACTATCTATATTGTTATCAGAAATATTATTATTTACTTTGTTTCTAAACGATAAATTATTTTTTAAATTCGCGTTTATCTTTTGTAATCAATATATTATATAGTGTTTTAAAACTCACGCGTATAAGCTTATATTATTTAAAATTTTATTATAAAATGTGCATGGACATATTATACGTATATTGTCAGAATAATAAGTTAATAATATTTTATTTTTTTCACATTTAATATAGATATTCTATTTGAGTACACAAGTTATTAAATATTAACTTATTTTAAGAGCGCTACCTATTATGGCAATATTACTGAATGGCGAGGAATTTGGAAACCGTTAGTAGTAGGTTGTTATGCAATCCTAAAATATTTCATAGCAATTTTAAAATTATGGATCAGCTTATTACGTTTACAATGAAAATATATTTTTAATTCTACCATGAAATTGAAAATATTAACAACGAAAATCCCATTCATTCGTTGGCAATATTGTAATTTCTTTTTTTTGACAGTGAAATTATATTACTCAAACCAATTGACAGACAGATAATAATGTGTCAGAAATAAGATATAATTTATAACACTCACGATAAGAAATAAAATACATACATATATATAAATATTATGAAACTATACATACCTATTGACATTTGATTAGAAAAAGTAGAATTCCAATTTTATTCAAATATATTTATATCTATATGTTGAACTTATTACAAACAAGGATATTATGATATTTGAAAATAAAAATTGTAAAGTTCAATATTTGCGGGCAAGACATAATGACGTACTTACACTCTACATAATTTTGAACTATAGTTGCTTTTTTTATATTTCCAATGAAATTTAAACCAAAAAAGTTAATACGTACCAACCTAGTTTCGAAGTACAGCGTACATATTATCAATTGTCATTTCTGAAAGTAATGATAATCGTATTTAAATTGAAGTAAATTTAAACATAGGCACTTTGACAACTGTAGCGTTTTGGTAGAGTTTCATAAAAAAGTATACCGAGTCTAATGTCAAGTTAAAAAAAATGTAACTAAATAACTTTTGGTTTGGTACTTGGTAAATACGACCCATCTGTATCCCATGATATATAATTACGTCAAACTTGAAAATGGCATCTTGTCTCCAGTATTACGTTTTTTTTTTTTGTATGCCAGTGACGACGGCGTCTGTAACAAAAAACAATAAATAATATGTATCTTATTTTTTTGCTTCTTAATATTTTTTTACCAGCAGTTTAGGTCAATTTCTGCAACCATTAATTGTCCAGCCCGCTCTCATTTACTAGTTATTATCTACTTTTCGACTTTCAAAAGTATTAACTTCTAAGTCATTGATGATCGCAGGGGCTATTCTTTGACCGTTATTTATTCGATTACCGTAAATAACTAATTATAATGTCAAAACGTTTAAATTATTTCTCAAAACAATTATATAAATTTTACACAGTTTTTATTTGCGTCACATTTTTCATTTGTACAATATATTATCATCATAAAATTATAAAAACAATAAATAAATTAAATGTCGATAAGTTCGTATTACTAAACTTCAACTCATTAAAAAATTATTGTGATCTTTTACTTGTTTATTCATAGCTATAAGTATATATGATCATAATTTACATTGTACAACTGTTTTTTTTTTTTTATCTTTGTTTTCTTCTCTTTTTGTATAATATTACTGTTAACGAACGGTTTTTGTTGTTATTTTTATTATGTATTTAATTGGGCCTGGCTCGTTTAAACCTTAAGTAAAATAAAAAATAAAAATAAAATATCTTAAAATGACAAGTTCCAAAGATTGTTGTGATAATCAACCAAGAAAACCCCATTTTAAAAGGTACTAATAACATTTTTTTCACGACTTTCTAAAAACGATAAAAATAATAGTTTCGTCGTTTTTACACGTAATATTATCGCGATTATTCAGCCAAAAACGTGACATTGCTTGGGTGTATGACATTAATTGGCAACCTCTGCAGGTGCCACAGGCGTGATAGACCTTTGTTGCAAACTTTATGAATTCACGTACGGTAAGTTTTTCAGGGATGCTAAAGCAAACGATGAAAACTACAAATTGAATTTAGTATAGAACGTTATTGTGGAAAAAGTGTTGGAGTATCGTGACCTAACGCATCAACGAAGTCGTAGCCTTCGGGTGCTGGCCAAGGAAAAGGTAAATTCCTACAAAATTGAAAATTAGATAATCTTCTACTTATTAACATATAATTAATTCTTATTGAGATAATAACAATTCATTCAAGTTTTGGTTCGTAAAAAAGTGAAAAAGTAAAAAATAACATCTACAAGATAGTTTTATTTTTTTTATAAAACTATATGATTTATAATTATTATAACTTATATCATTATTTATTAAAAATTAAATCAGTATACAAACAACAAACTAGTTATAATAACTGATTATACACGCTATACCGAGTCATCATTTAGCTACTTGTTGCGGTTTTATGAAAGAAAATTTATATTTATTAGCTCTTAGCATTAGCTGTTTCGAGTTACGACAGTAACTGACCGTTTCTCGATGGAAAAACGTGGAAACACTGGGTACGATAAAATGACGCTGTGTACACCGGTTCCGAATATTTGATCGACCTGTTTGTACATGTCAATCACATGGACGTACATGTCGTCTGTGTGAACAACGCGTCGTTTAGGCTTAACTTGGTATACCTAAAGCAAGACTTGAACGAAAATAAAACGAATAACGGCTTACAGCCGAATCATGATTAACGTAATCCAAGCGCTATCAAAGATCAAACTAAAAACCGAATTTTGGAAGGTTTTTGAATTTAAAAGACCCCTGGATAAAATGATTGACGGAGATAGACTCATTCTGTGTACTGATAATTGCTAAGTTAATGGCTGACAATCTGTATCGAAGTGCAAGTAGATCAACCGCCCAGCGTTAAAATTAATTACGATAATGAAATTTAGAGCACCCAGCCAAATTTGAAAAACGCGATCTAGTATACTTGTTCTCAACCAGTTTTAAAATTGTTTAAATAATGAAAACGATCTTTTGCAAGTGGTTGAACTTCTTGGAATATTTATGCTAGTGGTTTATCTAATTTAAGGGGAACAGAGGCAGTTATCTTGAAGAGTAATCATTTTTTTTGACTTACGACACTGTTTTAGAGACAAAGTATAATTTATATTGTTTTAAGGGTGGAAACAATACGTTGCTTTGGGCAGTTTTATGTGTAGCCACGTTACTGATTTTTAATACTACATAGTAATACATAATTTTATTAAATAATAATTTTATTTCAGTACCTACTATTTTCTACATATTATATTTAATAAATTATACTAAAAATACAAATATTCTATTAGTTATTATATAATATACATGCATACATACATACATATATATATATATGTGTGTGTGTATGCATTATCTGATTTTCTCAATTCGATATAAGGATCATTATGCGAACAATAACATAATATTGTATAGAAAAGCTGTTTATTTGACCGTTTCACTTTATGTAACTTACTAAGCATTTTTTATTTGAAAAATAATTTCAATTGTCTGACTTTTTTTTATCGTTTCCTTCTCATTATCATCATTATTATTATTGTTAGCGTTGTTTTGTTTATTTAATTCGACTAATAGACTATTCACTTTTTGTTCAATCTATGGAAATACATAAAACAATTTGCTTTACCCTCAAACTGTAATATAATAATTGTTTGTCAATAATTAATGATTTTATTTACTATGATAATAAACACATAAGTAGCATAATGTATAACAGTAACATTTCACAAAATTTAACAATAATCGTATGCAATTGATATTTATTCTCAAAATAAATAAATTTG